ATAACAAGTACTTTATCAAGCAAAGTGTTTACATCCGTCCTTTTATAAAATAAATAGGCGCTCCCGCTTATCATTAAGCAAAAAGAGAAAAAAGAAGTGTAAAAGAAAGAAAAAAAAATTTAATATATAAAAAAAGAGTATCTTGTCTTTAAACTCTAAACGTTTAAACTACGCTTTAACAGCTTCTTCGTAATCTTTTTCCGTGCTTACGTCTTTAATTCTTTCGTCTTTTTTAAATTAAAAAGGTCTTCTTTTTTTAGCAAAGCTAGCATTAAATAATAACGTGCTAGCAGCAGCATCTTTAAGAATAAAAGAGCGCGTATCGTTTTTACGCTTATTGCTAGTAGCATCGTTAATAAGTATGAACTTAGCCGACGAAAAGTTAGCAAAGCTAAAATAAAGTTTAAAGCTATTAATTAAGTCGTCTTCGTCTTCGAGCAAGTCATTTAATGCTTTTATAGCTTTATCGAATACGCGATTTAAAGATTTTAGCTAAAAAGATAATGCTTTAAGATTGCCGATTTAGCTTATAAATCGTAGTTTATAAGTAGATTTCGCACTTTTTAAGTTGATCTTTATACTTAAATCAAAGTCGTTAAAAGATAACTCAATCGATCGCATATTATTTTCGAAATCGTTTAATTTATCGGCGTTTGTAAGGTCGTTAGCTCGGCGGCTCTTGCTTTTAAAAAAGGACTTAGCTTTATAAGTTTTAACTTTAGCATTTAAAATAATAGCAAATCTTTTTTTAAATATCGAAAACAATTTTTTTTTATGCTTAATAAAGTGTTTTTAAAACTAAGTCCGAGATATAATAAAGATAGCGGTCAATTCTTTTATTATTCGAAGTTCGTTTTAATTTATTTTTTTAATTAAGGCTTCCGATACGTAATTAACGTAGTTTAATTAGATTATAACGGCGAAAAGTTGACTTGATTTATTGATGACTTTTTATTAAAAGATTAGCGGTATACGTTTTAAAACGATCGTATAAGCGTGCTCCGCAAAGCTGACTTTATTTTCTAAAGTATTATCGTTTAATAAAGCGATATAATTATTAAAAAAAATCGTTTATTCGTAAAGCGAATTTTAAAAAGCGTTTATATTTAAGAAAACATTTTGTTTCGTAATAACGGATATAAAAGTAGCGAGATCATTAATTATAGCGAAAAGTTAACGTAGCGCAATGTTCTTAAAAGCATTTAAAGTCTTCGATTTAAATCTAAAAGCTTTTTATTTAATAGTCTTTTTAAGAGTTATATCGTAAGTGTAGCTTTTAAGCTAAATAACTAAGCTTTCGATTTAGCTTTTTACGCTATAAAGTATTAAGTAATAATTTAAAACTTTATTTTTTATTCGTAAATTACGATTTACGAATCGTTTAATATTAACGTCGTACTTGATTGCAATCACTCGAATATTATTATTATATTTAAAAAGTTAAAAAGGTTCCGAATAAGCAATAAGCTTATAGTTTCCGTTTTAGCTATTAAGTAAAGCGGCAAAGTATAGCTTATAATAGCTTCGGAAGACTTGCTAAGTCAAAGAGTGCATTATATTAAAGAGTATATTAATCAAGGTTCTTTTTAAATTATTAGTCCGAAATGTGACGATACGCCAAGTCTCCTGGACGCACCTTACATGCGCCAAGCTACTTCCTTCCTTTTTTCCTTCGTATTCTTCGTATTCTCTCATTCTCCGCTTTTAACCTATGAACCATGGTTTACGAGTCCTTGGCGCTTATACCTTCGTATATATAGACCTTAGCTACCTTCGACCTTTACATTCGGTAGTTGTTGATTTTAAGTCATTACTTTAAGATTCTCTTGAGCTCTTATATGAAC